CTGTTGGGTTCCTTTCCTTTCTGCATTCTGAAGTTCATACCTCTCTCGTGTTCTGTAATCTCTCATTCTGAAGGTATGTAGGTTAGAATCAAGATTATGGATAAAAAAATTACTAGGCAGACATCACATGATGTGGCCATTTCATCATCATGTATATTTATTCATAATTTCACTATTTAAGTATTTAATGGAGATGTTAAAGTAGGAAGATAAACTAAGCTGCATTTATTCATAATTTCACTATTTAAGTATTTAATGGAGATGTTAAAGTAGGAAGATAAACTAAGCTGCATTTATTCATAATTTCACTATTTAAGTATTTAATGGAGATGTTAAAAGTAGGAAGATAAACTAATAGCTGCATACGTGTGTGTATGTGTGCAGATGATACTTCCGCGTACAGGTAGATAAGTGTCTTATTAGTAAAATGTAAAAATAAATCTTAGTTTTTGTTATGTTTATGTTTATCTTATAATCAGCAAAAATGCAGGTGTTCTGAATTTAGCCATATAGATGAATGCTCATTACTAGTAGAGGCATTAGAGCATTTTTCAACAGTATCTCTACAATTTTCTCTTAAAGTATTTTAATGTGAATTGGTTTAATCACACTAGCGTGAATTTTAAATAGATTTTAAAGTGGGATCAATATTCTGGTTTCAAATTAACGATGCAAAGTTATTTTATCTAAAATATTGTGAACAGTTTAAAGGGCTGATTGTTATTTCTTACAAATAAATGAGTAACCAGTTAATTGCAAAAATGATAATGAAATAAACCACTGATCAAAGGTTTAAAAATTTAAAGTGCTTAACATTCAGTACACTAGTTTCTTCATTAAATTAAAAAGTCAACCCTTACAGAAACACCTCATGTTGCAAGTGAGAAATTTTGTTGAAAGGGATAGATATCAAACTGCAAAAGACTGAATCAAAATAATCCAATAGTAAACTATTAACAATAGAATTATGTGAGCAGCCATGAAATGTGAAATAATTCTACTGCATATGGAAAAAAGAAAATGGAACTGTTTTTTTTTAAATTAATTCTCCCACCCAAAGAAATTTAAGGCTGAGAAATAAAGTACATAGCATTGCTATTTTTGTATCAAATATAACAAAGCAATCCTAAAGATCTGTTCACAATAAACCCTATTGAATTCAATGGTGTTTTATTCTAAACACTGGATAAAGGATTGCAATTTAATTTAAAAAGTTCTTAAATATGTCCTGAGTCAGAATCAACAACTATAACCACTAATAGAAAACCAGCCATCTTTAACATTATGCTGTCCAGATGTGATGGGATTAATATTCAATTTAGTCGACATGGAGAGGAACAGTTTAGAGAAAATTTGAACTAAAGAAGGGTTTTTTCTCTTAAAAACAATTGTAGGACCCAGTATTAACACATATACACAGAACTTTATGAAAGAATGTAAAAACTAAAAAAAAAATAGTTTTTTCCATATACTTTAGGAGTGATCATAAATTTCCCACTTAAGTTTTAAAATGAAACTAAATATACAGTTCACTGCTGAATGGAAGTCACTTATTATTGTGCATAATAAATGCCATAGTTGCTATAGATAAATAAGAAAAAAAATATCTGTATTCTCAAATCTAGAAAATAATATAACTTGAAAATAATAGCATAACTAAAAAACATACATAATAGTAGTTTTTAATTATGATTCTGTCCCTAAACTTTTCAGAGTGCAATAAAACTTTTTAACTCAATGTATTTGACACTTTAAAGAAACTAGTGACATTGCCTGGCCAATATGCTGGACTGCCAACCAAATTGCATTGCCAAAGATGTTCTATAGTTCTGAAATTACTTTCTAGTTTTCATTTATAAATGATGTTTCTACAGGGCTCTGTGGGTCTTGCTCATAATGGTATTAAATGACAAATCCCACGTTTAAGGGTCACTTTGTTAGAATTGATTAATAATAATCTAACCAGTCTTCTCATTATTGACATTACTGTTTTGGCATTTATCAGATCTCTTTTTTTATCTGCATTTGCAACTTGAGAAAGGTTTTCAGACTATAAAACATACTAAGTAATAATCCTTTTAAAATGTTAATGTTTTATAAACAAGCTATGAACATAACATGCAAATATTTTATAGGCACATTCATTTTATGTGCAAAATATTCTCTCTCCTATTAATCTCACTGAGATTAAGACATGTAACTGGGAATGTTCATATCCTTCTGCATGATTTACAGATCATCCAATAAAGAGTGTCGTTGATTAATATCTAACATAGGTAGTTAAACATCACTGCATGTGATATCACCAGTGAAGAAGAACATACCCAGATGATTTGGACTAATAACTAATAAAACTAATGAAATGTTGTCACATCACTTGAAAGTAGTTTTTGAACAAATGATTTATACCAGCATATGATACAATTGACACTGCATTAAATGATGAGTCATGTAGCATGTTTTCCCTTTAAAATGTAAAAATAGTTATATAAAACATGGTGATTCTGTTTGTTTATAATATGATTCTAGTTCATGTAATGACTTCATCAAAAGCCTGTATCACTGAAAAAAAGAAATGGACAGCTTGGTAAACTAAACTGTTTTCAGTACACAATTCTCCAAGAGAATTCTATATAAATTAGCTTCACAGTTCAACTGTAAAGTTTCAAACAGATTTATGTCAAGACATTGTCAGCGTGAATAATTACAGCATAGGGTTTAACATTTTTAGATAACCTCATTCATGAATCATTACAAGTGATTAATGCTCCAGTGTACATTCATGAATAATTTAATTCACAGAACCTGGGGCTAAGGGCATAAAAAAAAATTCAAAGACTACAATAACCTATATCTGGTCTTGGGTATTCAGGAAAACCCAGAAGACTATACAAACCAGATTTTTATATCTTCAAGAAAAAGAAGACCCATTATTGAAGAAGTCCAAAGAATCAATGCATTAGTTTTCAAGATAGTAAGTGCTTGGATTTCCCCCAAAACTTGTTCGAGCTTACCATTTGTTTTATAAACTGTGGCATTCAAGTTCTATTTACTTTTAGTTCTGCAGGCCAACAAAATTATTGGCACAGTGAATTTATAAAATGCAGATAGATAGGATATATAATCAAGAAGAGAGGGGCCTTAAATTCTATGTGAGCAACTGGACCAATCACAAGGAGAAAAAAACAATCTCGAAACTGTGTAGTAATATCAATTAAAGCATTTAACTAGGACATAGTGTAATTATACAATAGCATTGTTATTCCTCTCCACTCCTACTCTCCTATCTTTCAGACTCTATGCAGCAAAGCTAAGAGAGGTTCTCAAGGAAGCTAGGCAAG